ACAAAGGCACTTTTGCTCATGGAAGGATGCCAAATATTTGTCATTGGTGGGGGGTGGAAGGGACAAAAACAAGAGGTGTCTTATGCTGCCGTAATGCTGACATCACTCTGGAAGAAGCCTGGATTCTTAGGGCTTCCTCAAGCTGCTGCTCCGGCCGCAACCTTCATACTTCTGGATTTTTGATCACAGGAGAAAAATAAGCTCGTATTTTGTTAGGGTGTTTTAATAAGCTTGCATGCAACTGAATGCAACCCTAACTGATAAAGAGAGGAGGATGTTAGTACATGAATAAAAAAATAGATCAATGGGACAAAACAGAGGGCCATAATAGACCCATGCACTTGTGGAAACTTAGTATATGACAGAAAAGATATTACGAATCAGTGCAAAAGGATAGAAAATTCAACAAATATTGATGGAACAACTGGTTTTCCACGTGGAAAAAAGTCAAATTAGAATCATTGACACACACAAAAAATGACAGATAAATTAATCTTTTAAAGCAAAACTCTAAAAGAAAATATGTATATTTTAGAAGAAAATATGTATGACATCTTTATGATATTGAGATAAGAAAATATTTCTTAAACGACACACAAAATCATAAGTCATAAAAGCAAAAAGAAAATATATGAATTTAACTAAAGTATAATTTAAAATATCTTTACAACGAAAGTTACCCACAAGCAAGAGAGTGAGATGGAGAGTAACAAATGAAAGCATGAGTTAGGTAAGGTGGTGAGGGAAGGCCTTTCTGAGCGGTAACATTTAAACTGAGATTGGAAGGATCATGTAAAGAGCAGGGGAGACACTGTTCCAAGCAAAAGAAGACCATGTGCAAGGCCCTGGAGGGAGGAAGAGATTGGTAGTTAGGAACTAAAAAAGACCAGTATGACTGGAAGTAGAGACAAAGAAGGAGAGTCATAGGCAATAACGTTAAAGAGACAAGCAAGGGAAAGTCCCATGAGGCCTTGTAAGCCACAGTAAGAAGCATGGACTGAGCTGAAGTGTGATGGGAGGGTGTTGGATGGCTCTGAGCAGGGAGACCCGTGAGCTGATCACCCATAGCACAGCGCAAACAGTGACTGAAGAAGGGCAACTAACAAGCAGCTCTGAAGACCTGCCTGCTGCACACAACTAGACCAGCAACATGAGGACACATACTTTCAGTAATCAGAGGTCTCACAGAAGGAAGACAGGCCTCCAAAAATGGTACCACTCCCCCTCAATATATACACCTGAATGTGAGCTTGGTCTGGACTGGCTAAAAACTAAGTTAGATGAGGTGGGAGGCCATGGCTGAAGCAGCAAGGATTCAGAGTGGGGGAACTAAGGCAGGTGGAAAGGAACTGGCCTGGACTGTCAGGCAGCCAGAAAAGGAAAGTTTAACTGACTTATATCAAGATTATTGAGGGGATTTTGATATTTGGAGATATAACTAGGTGGGAAAGCTGAGCTAATGACTCTTTCTGTGAGCCAAAACCCTTTAGGTGTGCTTAAGTGGTCCTGTTTCAGGGCAACACCTGCCCACAGGCTGAGAAAAACAAAAGCACACCATCTCTGAAGGAAGCTTCCCCACGTTGGGCCTATAAAACCCCTACAAACTAGGATCAAGCAACGAGCTCACATTTTTAAAAGTATTAAATACATGGAAAGCCACTATCAGTGAGAATAAGCTGAAAGAAGAATCAATAGATTTAGACCCTCAAAAACCGCAAGGATGTGAGAATATATTTTTTAAAAAGCAGTTATGTATAATATGTTTAGAAAAATAAAAGATGCAGTCACTAAGATGAGCTCTCAATAAGAAACTATTAGGAAAGAAGAAAAACAAATGGAACAATTAAAAATGAAAAATATAAAATTAAAATCTCAATGGACAGGCTAAACAGCAATTTAGATGCAACTGAGGAGAGAATCAGTGAACTGGAAGATATCCAAAGAATTATCAGAATACAGCAAAGAGAAGTGAAGAGGAAGAAAATACAAAAGAGAGGTTTTAAGGCATTGAGAATAGAATGATAAAGTCTAACATATATGTAATTAGAATCCCAGGAGGAGAGAAAAAAGAGAATGAAGGACAGGCAATATGTAAGATGATAATGACTCTACAAATTTGATAGAGATAATAAAAAGTACAGATTCAAAAACACAGGAAGTAAAACATCCCAGATATGATAAGTCAAAGGAAATCCAGGGGCCAGCCCGGTGGCATAGCAGTTAAGTTTGCGCTTTCTGCTTCAGCAGCCCAGAGTTCACCGGTTCGAATCCTGGGTATGGCCCTACTCACTGCTCATCAAGCTGTGCTGAGGCAGCATCCCACACAGAAGAACTTACAGGACCTACAACTAAGATATACAACTATATACTGGGGCTTTGGGGAGAAAAAAGAAAAAGAGGAAGATTGTCAACAGATGTTAGCTCAGGACCAATCTTCCACTAAAAACAAACAAACAAACAAAAAAAAGGAAATCCACACCTAGCATAGTAGTGAAACTGCGTAACACAAAAGACAAAGACAACATCTTGAAAGCAGCTTGACAACAATGATGGATTACTTACAAAGGAGTGGTCATTAGAAAGACAACTGAATTCTCCATGGCAACAACAAAAATTATCAACAGTGGAGTTAGAGTTTAAATATGTTGAGAGAAAATAAGTGACAATAAAAGTGTGTACCCAGCAAAATTATCCTTAAATAAAGAGAATGAAAGAATTATGTTTACTGGTCAACAAAAACTGAGTTTACTACCAAGAAACTACTCCAGAGGACATACTTGAAAAAAAAAAAAAAGGAAAAAGATGCAGAAGGATGGCCTAAGATGCAAAAAAGAATAGAGAGCAAAAAAATGGTAAACAATACGACCCAGCTATCCTATTCCTGGGTATTTATCCAAAGAACAGGAAATCGACAATTCAAAGAGGCTTATGCACCCCTGTGTTCACTGCAGCATTATTCACAATAGCCAAGACATGGGAGCCACCCAAGTGCCCATCAACAGATGAATGGATAAAGAAGATGTGGTGTATATATATAGAATGGAATACTACTCAGCCATAAGAAAAAGACAAAATCATCCCATTTGCAACAACACAGATGGACATTGAGGGTATTATGTTAAGTGAAATAAGCCAGACAGAGAAGACAAACACCGTATGATTTCACTCATATGTGGAAGATAAACAAACACATGGATAAAGAGAACAGATTAGTAGTTACCAGAGAGGAAGGGGGTGAGGGGGATGGGTGAAAGGGATAAAGAGGCACATATGTATGCTGATGGATAAAAATTAGACTATTGGTGGTGAGTACAATGCAGTCTATACAGAAACTGATATATAATAAGTACGCTTGAAATTACACAATGTTATAAACCAATATGACCTCAGTAAACTAATTGGGGAAAAAAACGGTAAATGTAGATAAATTCAAACACTATCTAAATAAAATAACAATAACAGTGAATAATTTATGGGATTAAAAAATGTTAAAACTAAAAAAAATGAACAGCAATAATATATAAATTGATGGGCAAAGATTGGAAATAAACTTATAAAATCCTTAGAGGATTTGGAGACTGGGGCCAAGATACTAGTTAATTTGTTTGAGTGGTTGAAGGGTGGCAAGACAGGAAATGGGGAGACCCATTAAGAGGTGGTTGCAGGAGTTCAGTTGAGAAATAACAGTTTCCTAGACTAAGGCGTGGCAATGAAAATGGAAAGAAGCAGACAGTTTCAAGATGTATTTTAGAGAAAGAAGGAAGGGGAGGAACCAAGTATAACTTCTAGATTTTGGATTGAGTAATTGAGTGGATGGTGGTGCTAAGATGGAGAAGCCTGGGTCCGTAGGGTGGGTGAAGGAGAGGAAGTGAAGTGTCCCATTTGGGCATGGTAAATTTCAGAAATCTGTGAGATGATCCAGGAAGTAGGTAATGGCCAATTCTGTAGTTTAAGTAGAGTTCTGAGCTGGGGAGATCAATTTGGTCATCATTAGAATAGAGATGGCTTTTTAAATTCATGGAATTTGATAAAACTACTGAAGGAAAGAATTTAGAGGAAGATTGGGAAAAAACCCAAGGCAAGTCTTAAGGTATGTCAGCCTTTAGAAGTCAGGTGGAGCAGGAGAGCCATCAAATAGATATGCAGGGAACAAATAAGGTAAGAGGAAAAGAGGAGAGAGTAGTGTCACCAGACCCAAAAGGGAGAGAGTTTCGAGAGCAATTTCAGTGTGCCGAGAGGTCAAATATGATGGGGACAGAAAGTACGACCTTGACAAGAGTTCATTTAGAGAAGCGTGGTGAGTGGCGGAATTGAGTAGCAGAGAAGGAAGTAGTGAAGCATATGAGACCTGTTCGTAAAGGTCGGGTGTGAAATCAAGCAGAGAAATGTAATAGTACCTAGATAGAAAAGTGAGATCAACAGAGGATTTTTTTAGATTTGGAGTTGTCAGAGTGTTCATGTATAGTACAGGGATGATTCAACAGAGAGAGGAAGGTTGATCATGCCGGAGAGAAAATGAATCATCAAAAAGATGCAATCCTTGAGAGAACAGAAGAGATGAGATCTAGAAAATAGTGGAAAGATTAGTTTTTAGTGGGAAAAGAGACGCATCCTCTATTGCTAAGAAGGGAGAAGAAAATGTATTTGTATTTTTAAATTTAGTGGCAGGAAGATGGAGAAGTTCACATCTGACAGTTTCTATTTTCTCAGTACAGCATGAGGCACGATGATCATGGGGGGTAAGGAAGAAGGAGCTACAAGTAGTTGGGGGAAAAAGTATGAAACAGAATTCCCTTTCCTCTATATCAGAGCACTCCGCATATTTCCTTTGCGGTAGTTACAACAATCTTTAAGAATTTTGTTTATTTCTCCATTTACTCATTTATTATCTGCCTCCCCTACTAAAATGTAAGCTCTGGGAGGGGCAGGAACCAAGCCTGCCTTGCTCAGTTGGATCCAATGCCTAGCAGAGTACCCAGCACACTGTACATCCTGAAAAGATATTTTCTCATCGTTGAATGAATAAACGTATTCATTGCTCAGTGGTTATTAGAGAATGAAAAACTCCTAAGTAAGTGGAGGTCATACTACTCAGACCATTGCTAAGACCCGTACCAGAGATACTTCTGCTCTCAGCCACTCCCAGCCCCACCACCTGCTCCACTTTGGCTTCAGAGTCGCAGTCAAGACCCTTTTGAGATCCACCCACCCTCAGCACCTAACACAGAGTCACATACACACTCCTAGCATTGAACAACTCTTGCCTCCTACTCTGACTGGCTGGAACGCAAAAAGTGACAGAGCCTTGAGGAAAATCCTGAGAACCTCCAACAGAACCAAAAAATGATTTTCTTTTTCCTTTCTCTTAAGAGCAGATGGAATTTGGGGCCGGCCCCGTGGCGTAGCAGTTACGTGTGTGCGCTCCGCTGCTGGCGGCCCGGGTTGGGATCCCGGGAGCGCACCGATGCACCCCTTGTCAGGCCATGCTGTGGCGGCGTCCCATATAAAGTAGAGGAAGATGGGCATGGATGTTAGCCCAGGGCCAGTCTTCCTCAGCAAGAAAGAGGAGGTTTGGCATGGATGTTAGCTCAGCGCTGGTCTTCCTCACAAAAAAAAAATAGCAGATGGAATTTTAGATGGCTGTGACTGTCTATTGTTCTTAAGTAAATTACACCAGGATCAAGATGCCCCTTTCCCTGAAGAGACACTTCTGAAGATGAAGAAAATGTAATGATGACAGAATCTCTTTTCAGCCTCTTTATTTAGAAATCAGGCTGGCATGATCCTTATGCTTCTATCAGCATCCTAAATGAGGCAAGAGAGTTATAATCTGACGTCAGGACAGGCCCAGGATTTCTGCCCCAAAGAAGGTAATAGAAGGAATCGTGACATCCCTTCCCACTCTCACCATCCCCACCACCACCACTACCAGTTCCTGACTGTGCTCACAAAGCTTTACTGTGAGCTGTGAGCCGTGAGCAAACCCCTCTGGACCTGCCTTCAGGAGTCTGGGACTGTTCACACATTTGAAAATTTTGCCTTCAGCAGAAGCCTGGAGAAAGTGCAGATAATATCTGACTGTTGTTCAATGCTGGGTTGGAAAAGGAATAAAGGAGCAGTGAGAACCTTCTAACAATCTCTTGGATTCCTGAAACTTCTATCATATTGTAGTTAAAAGAATTAAATAAAACTTGGCCCTAGGAAGGGAGTCGTCTTATTTTTGTCAGTTTCTAAACAGCAACAAAGATATTTGCGTAAATATGTTCACACGTGTGCTTGCTCAAACCCCAGCAAGCTTAGGAGCAAGCACAGTAGTTAGCAGCCTTGACCAGCACACATCGTCCACCACCAGGAATGAAAGAAGAATCTTCATTTACACACAGGGCGAGAAGGACTACATCTCACACACCATTTTGACTCCATGCACCTCACTGCTGTTTCCCTTGCCTGAAACGTCCACTCCACACTCTCCACCAGTCTGCCTACCCTTCAAGTCTCACTTCTCCCATGAAGCCCTCCCCAAATTCTCCAGCGCTTCTCTGAGCTTCTACATTACTGGTCCTAGTCATTGAGTATACACTGCCTCTTAATGCTATTTAAGTGCTTCAGACTTTTTATCTCATCTGCCCAACAAGAACAGGGTAACTCATATATTTCATTCCCCCACTGCCACCAGGATGCTGGGCACACTCTAGATGTTCTGTAAGAATTCATTGCGTATTTTCCCACTAGTCATATGATCAAATGGGTACATATAGATGGACAATCATGTACTAATAATAATAACAACAACAATACTACTATATTTGAGCATTCCCTATAGCTCAGGCACCATGCTAAGTTCTTTCTATATATTGCCTAATTTAAATTTATCAACAACTCTACAAAGTAGGTTCTATTTTTATCCCCACCTTACAGATGGGGAAGTTGAGCCTTAACCCAAATTAGTACTTTTGACCAATACACTGATTCCAGGGGTGTGTGTATGTATTTTAAACAGATGGTTACAGGCCCAAGTAATAATTTCTAAACAGATTTATAGAATACCAGCCCTGGAAAGGACTTCAGAGCTCATCTAATACAGCTGTCTTGGCTTATAGATGAAGGAAACAAATGCTAGGGATGTGAAATGACGTGCCCAAGATTATGCAGCTAGTAAGAAGCAGAGTTGAGAGACTAAAGCTGAATCCCTTCCTGCCAGGGTGTGTGGTTTCTACCATTTGCAATCCTACCAAAGAATGTCATCTTTTCTCCTCCTCCACACAAGTTTCACATCTCCAGGTTCTTTATCTAGTACACCTGGTTCAGGTATCTCAGGTCCAGAGGCTGTTGACACAACCCATCTGGAGTGAGTTAGGCTTTCTTGAGCACTCCTTTCCCTTCTGCCATCTCCCCCCTCTTCACCTCCTCCGCTGGCCTGGACTCACGACCCCAGAGTGCATTGCTCCTTGCCTTTGCCCTTAACCAAAGCTTCTCTGTGGCCAGGCAGAACTGTTAGAATGCTGCTCAGGCTGCCAAGAAGCAGACGGTAACACAGACGGTGACACAGGCAGCCCAAGCAGGACAATTGCCTTGACTGAAACCAAATTACCCTCCACATGAGACAGAGAGGGGATTTATACCCCTGATTCCATCTGGCTCTGCATAGCAGCCTCTGCCTGCCCTGGGTGGGGAAGGAAAAGAAGCGGCTAATTGCATCAGGGCCCTCTAATCCAGTCTCAATCTAATCAAGCTTGGGGCTGTCAGTAGCAATGCAGTTTTCAAAAGACACTTTGATCTCCTGAGTTGTCACTGCCAGAGCTACCCACATCAATCTCTCTGGAGCCAGAAGTTACCAGACTCGTGTACCCATTAGACCAGGGACTGGCAAAAAGGCCAGCATTCCAGACACACCAAACCAGATTGGAGCAGTCCCCAGATGTTTCACTTGATGGGAAATTGGGCTTAGGATCCCTAGGGAAGAGCCTGACAAGAGGAGCAAACAGCTGTCTTCTGCTTCCAGGAAATAAGTATTTTGCTTTTTTTCTAATTATTAACACTGATGGTCATATACACTAGGAATGACAAAATGTTTCCCAATAAAAAGGCAGAAACAACTCTGAGGAAAATGTCTTTCCTTCTTTAAAGTTAACTGGGACAAATATAATAGTTGACCTCCCCAGACTCCAATCTGCCCTCCCTCTAATCTACCTCTCAGAAAATAAATTCATTTGTCAGTCTAGCAAATCCTGCTTGAGCATCCAATCTGTGGACCATTGAGGAATAAGATGAATAAGACCTAGTCTCTGGGAAATCAACATGAAGCAGACGATTCCAGTGTAACGTGGGAAATAAAGGGCATATGAAGTGGGCACCCAAGAAGTTCAGAGGGTCACATCACTCTCCTGTAGAGAAGCTTACAAGTGAATCCCATGTCCTCCCTAATGGTAGCAGTCATTGGTTCTTTTCACCAATATCCTGTTCTCTTCTTTCCAGGTCCATATTGGCATCGTCCTTCCTTCCCCCCCCCGTGACCGTATGACTTACCTTGACCAACAAAATGTGAGTGAAAGTGACAAGTTACTTTTGAGTGGAAGCCTTTATGTACTGATGTACAAATTTCCATGTCCCCTCCCTCCTACCGTAGCAAATTACAACATTCTAGGTGGTGGGAGCTCTATCAGCATGAGTCCGGAGTGAGGAGGACAGGGGGCAGGTTCCCTGCTGACCTGAGATGACTTGTAGCATGAGTAAAAATTAAGCTTTGTTAACTTAAGCCTCTGAGATCTTAGACTTATTTGTTCCTGCAGCATAATGTAGCCCATCCAAACCCCTTAGGCTGGCATTCAAGGCCTTCCCATACATCAGAGCAGGTACTTTTCCAGGCTTTTCTTTCATAATACGTGAATCCTATATTCCAGCCAAATTGGTCTATTTACCATATTCCAATCATATCCAGCACCATCTGACAAGCAAGCCTTTTCTCATGCTAGTCTCCTTGCCTGAAATGCCATCCTCCCATCTAAATCCTATCAGCTTATAAAATCCAGCTTTGTAACCCTCTCTTCCAAGAGGTCTTCCTGGATGACCGGAGTTAGAAATGAATCCTACTGTGAATTCCAATAGCCCTTTCAGTATCCCATCCATGGGTATTTATCTTACAGAATTTTCTAGAATATTTGATCATTTATGTCTGTGTCCCTGCTAGACCGTGAACTCCTTGAGAACAGGGTTTTGGGTCTCATTGGTCTTTGTGACCTACACTCCATGTAACCTGTGCTTTGAGTGCCTTATACATCATAGTCGATGACCATCACTTGCACAGGCTGGAAGACTCCCTAAACCAGTTTTCATGAATCATTTTGTCCTATTTCTGTGTAGAAAGTATGGTGAGTTCCCTCATTCACATTATAAATCTGAGCCACTGCTAAATTCAACCTTCCAGTCTTTATCTCAAATTTCTATCTTCTGGCCCACTTTCTTTTTTTTTTTTTTTTTTTTGTGAGGAAGATCAGCCCTGGGCTAACATCTGCCAATCCTCCTCTTTCTTTGCTGAGGAAGACTGGCCCTGGGCTAACATCCATGCCCATCTTCCTCCACTTTATATGGGACACCGCCACAGCATAGCTTGACAAGCGGTGCGTCGGTGCACGCCCGGGATCTGAACCGGCGAACCCCGGGCCGCCACAGCAGAGCGTGTGCACTTAACTGCTTGCGCCACTCTGGCCCACTTTCTTAACCTCTTCATTTTCTTTTCACCTCCATCCTCAACACTAGTTGTTGCTTTCTTTCAGAGGCCATTTTTCACCAGGACACTAAGCTGTTATCATTTCATGAGTTATGACTTCTGATGAGTTGAGGTGCAGGCATTGAGCGGTCAGCAATCCTCCCTCACCAGCCAAGGAACTCCCTTCTGCACCCAGCCTCACAGTGCACGACACAGACTCAGCATCTGCAGCACTGCAGATTGCTGCACATGGTGAACCTCCAGGTTGCTTGAGAATAGGTGAAACTGTAAGTGGTAAATACTGTAA